ATATCTAGTTGCTACACATGTTTGACAGATCTATAGAAGCATAAAAGATGAATATTAGGAGAATGGAAAATGAATATTAGCTAAATGATAGGTATCCTTTTTATGTCTTGATATTTATCCTTTATGTATCTACTTTTAATCTGGTTTGCTACAGTTATTTGGCAGATCTATGGTAACATAAAGGATAAATACTAGTACAATATAAAAGGTAAATACAAAATAAATAAAAGGTATCTATTAATATCCTGATATCAATCCTTTGTATGGTGATTATATATCTAGTTGCTACACGTGTTTGACAAATCTATAGAAGTATAAAAGATGAATATTAGGAGAATGGAAAATGGACATTAGCTAAATAATAGGCATCCTTTATTATTCTGATATCAATATATTATTTAAAATTATGTATCCATTTTGCTGCTAATATTGGTGATCATAGCTACATAAAAGGTAAATAATAGTATATGTAAAGATAAATATCGGCTAGCTAAAAGGCTTCTATTAAGATCCTGATATCTATCTATTTTTATTCTGTTTTGCTACATATATGGCAAAATAAAAGGTAAATAATGATACATATAAAGGTAAGCGTTAGTTAACTAAAGGGATTATTTTAATATTCCTGTTTTTACTAGATAATATTAAAAACAAATATTTATTTATTCCCAATATATAATTAAAAATAAGTTTTGAATTTTATTATTTGTATAATTATTTTTATTATAAATATTATATACATTTAACTAGTAATTAAATAAATATATACATAATATGTAGATTAAATAAATTTAAAAAAAAATTAGTTTCTGGTACTATGCCTAGAATTTTTAGGAGCTTTTAGACTTGAATCTCTGCTATAATATAGTTTAGATCTAGAAGTATTGGTAGAATAATTATCTGGAACTTTGTTTAATTCTAAATTATAAAATAATTATTAATATATAACAAATTAATTGGAAATATAGCAAGTCATATAAAAACTATCAAATACATTACCAGATTCATGATTACTATCAGCATTATTATTATTGCTATTAGTAGTCCTTTCAAAAATTATATGAATAAAACATTAGTAAAAATTTTAAATAATTTGTATTAGAAACATTAAAAATCGTACCAGATATGATATTAAGATTGATACCAGGAGAACTTCTACCATGAATTGTTTCAGGAGCATCAATATTAATAATGGGGCAGCAGAGCGATTATTTGCATCAGAATGATTAGTATTGGGGGCAGCAGAATGATTATTTTTGGGGGAATTAGAACAATTAGCATTGGAAGCAGTATAGTAGTTAGTATCGGGAGCTGAATAATGATTAGCATTGGGAGCAGCATATCGATTAGTATCGGAGGCAGCATTAGTATCAGGAGCAACAGCACCAAATCCAGACCCAGACCCAGAATATGTATTAGAAGCAAAACCAGACAGAGCAGAACCAGATGGAGCAGAACCAGATACAAAATATGTATTAGAGAGTTGTATATCAGAATCCCGATACACAAAATCCCGGCAACAAAATCCCAATACACAAAATCCTGACAAATTAAATTCCTAATTTTAATATTTTTAGGATTTTAATTTGTCAGAATTTTGTGTATCAGGATTTTGTTGCCGGGATTTTGTGTATCGGGATTTTGTGTGTCGAGATTCTGATATACAACCGTATCAGAGGTAACAGCACCAGACTCTAAATAATTATCAGAGTCATCACCAGCACTAGGAGAATTTATAACAAGACCAAGTAAAATAGCAGGAATGTTGTTGTATAAAATACACCAGCTAGAAGCCCCAGCTAGTGGTGTTGAGTTATCATCGATATCAGTTTCTTAGCGATTCTGTTTTCGCTTATTATAATTTTGTACTAGCGAAGTATCTTCGTATAGCAACAAAATTTGCTTTAACTAAAACATATATAAAGCATATTAGTACTGGTATTAATATAGATATAAATTATCTATTGTAATAATTAATTTTTTAACTGCCATTCTTTTTTTATGACCTTCACTACATGATTATTGTGGTCATCATCAAGAGGATATTGAATCCTTTTCCTTCTTTCATCATCGGCAAGTTCATTATCCATTTCTGATAACTTATCGCTGTGGTACCCACTTTTGGCCACAATTTTTTTTATATTATTTAGAGCTTGACGCTCTAAAATTTCATGTTGGAGGAGGTTTTTTTAGTTATTCGCTTTTACTTTGGTGAAGGTAGGCGAACCTCTTTTTCCTCTGATTGATTTTCTGAAAATATATTTAAAATTTTACTGATAGTGATATAGTTAGTATATTAATACAATGAAAACAAAAAA